AGATCAAACAACTGGCTTGACCAATGGCAGAGCGGCAAATTGGGCACCAGAAGTCTTGTTTAGTCCTTTCCGCGCTTTCCCGTCGTCAACTGACGTTCCCGTCCTGTTGCTAAATCAGCCTATTCTATCAAAACGAGGCGACGATTTAATAGTCATGCAAAATGTACAGTTCGAGACGAGTTTTGACAAGATTTACGTCATTTTTGTTTGCAGTGAGGACAATTACAATCGCTACTCAATGATCACTTCCACCCATAATTTGCAATTATCGTCTCAATCGCGATTTCTTGCATTAGCAAATTTTTCGCTAATTTGCCAAACTGAGAAACCACGTGACATTGCTTTTATTTTATGCAAAGATAGAGGGTCAGCCTAGTCTCTACGCGTTCTTTCTTGATCCGCGAGTATCTCTCGGTGACCTCACAGCTCATGGTAGAGTCCAGGAATAACCGAGCCGAAAACGCCTGGGAACGAGGCTGATAGAGGGTATCATCGTGAATAAGGTATATACTGCTATTTCGAGAAAGGTTGTCGGAAAAAATGTGCAGGCGACAATCCCGAAAGGTAGTATGGGATACGATAAATACACGGTCCCTGACACTACAGCTGTCGAAGCTCCTTTTGTTGCTACCCTTTTGCTCTCGCTAACAAACGTCTACGCCCTCTCGTCTAATTCCTTTACATTTCTCTGAAGAACAGTGAACTCAACAACCTTTCTCGAAATAGCTGTAGTTGCTTTAGTTTGTTTTTCGGTATGAATCTTACTAATCGGTAAAAAAAAAAACAGAAATATTTTTATTTCATATAATTTGGTTAGGTTTAACTCAAGGTATAATCAATATTAATAAGAAGTTGGATCAAGTTGGGGTCGTTCATTTCTCCAAGTCACTTTCGTTTGATTGATCCATTTAGTAGATGCTTTGGTCAAGAAACAACATGCTGAAATAATTACAAAAAATTGGTTTTACTTAGGCCGTATTTCCTTTGGAGCACAAGCACTCATCGACCGGATCACTTTCTTTCTAGTAATTAACTATTTTTTTTGACGATATAATAGGATATTTTTATCAACAAAGACCGTGAATTGTTTGATATACCTACAGGTTCGGTTTCCAAGAATTGTACGATCGATTACAGAATTTTCAGTTTTCTCTTAAGCAAAACAAATTAATAATAGTAACAATAATAATAATAATAATAATAATAATAATAATAATAATAATAATAAAAATGATAATGACATTTACTTTTATAGTGCCATTTCCGTTGCTGTCCAATGGCGCTTTACAACAACAATTGTTCAATAATCTGTTTCACTTAACTGTCCATTTGGAAAGAGGAGTGAAAGGGAAGTGTACAATTAAAATTAAACCTTTTGGCTGTATGAGGGTCATTTTTGGCTCGAACGATTGCAAAGACATATTCTGTAAAGTACAATACAGACACCACGGTAGAAACTATATTAGCGTTTAGGTGGGAACGCATCTTCTTAGAGTTCCACACTCTTAGAATAGCGACGTTGAAAATTGTCACCTGGAGCCACATGGACAGAGTATTCACAACTACATCTATGGTCAGGCCAGTAATACAACGCTCGAGAAATCCCCAGACAAGCTTCGAAACGGAAGGTCTCGCGCCATCAGGGTACATATACCGATAGAATTGGATAAACCACACAGCGGAGACTAGGGCTGTTGGTTCTGTAAGGAGAAGCTGAATGCTTACATCCGCAACGAAGCGCATGCTTCGAGGCGTTCGAGCTTTAGCAGCGTGAAAGTTTCTCGTTTGTGTTCTGTTATTGCAGCGTGACAAGAGTTTATAATTGTACTCATATATGTAATCTCGCATGGTAACGGTTAAGCGTTCAACAAGATCGACCAATGCATGACCAAGTCCCAAGGCAGCGAAAAGTGAAAAGTTTGTCAATTCTGCCTGCATTACACGGAATACCACAGCTGAGCTCGAGTACAGCGTGCTCACCAAAAGGTACAGAACTCCTGGGTGAACGAGGTCGAACTTCGGCGCAGCTGCGCGAACCATAACTTTGGGAATAGATAAAATTAGTGTGCTTGCACCAGCAATCAGTACTTTCTGAATCTCACTTTTCTTGTTATACCATGGAAAGATGTAGTAAACTAGTAAAAACGTGGCAGGTATACCTGTTACGAATTGCAATGCTAGCACAGTGGTGACCTTCAACAGTTTTGTGTTGCTGTAGAGTGTACAGGTATGATGTGCTTGGCTATAAATCAAGCTGTTGCTAAGCACTATTGAGGCAAATAGAACATTTAGAGGGTAAGACATCCAGGGGCGTTTATAGATGCCGAATACCTGTAAAAATAGTCGATAACAGGCGTCCATGAAGGCAGCGAGGAGATTGATCGTTATAATTAAAAGGTTGAGTTCCTTCATCGTTGAAAACCCAAACATGCACAGCATAATAAAAAAATGCCAAAGCTGGATAAAGAATCCTTCAACGGCCTGTCCGGTGACTCGTATACTCTGGATCGTTTTTGGCATACTGTTCCATCTGAATGTCTTTTCGTAGCACAAATCCGCTATCTTGAAATCTAAAACCACAACAGTAATTGCGAGTAAAGCAATGCTGGAAGCCCGTAAGAAATGCATCGCAAACACCGTTTTGAAACACATCACAAACGACTTCCAAGGGGCAGGCCGGGAGAGTTTCCACGCCATACTACCGGAACATCCAGGTGGAGGATCGAATTCCTGAAATATTGTGTCGCTAGAGTTTTCAGGATCTAACTTTGTAAAGTCGTTTAAGGCGTCAGTTTCTGGAAGCAGTCGTTCCACCTCCTGGCTGTCACTGTTATTTATGTCTTCCTGATCTTGCCTGCAATGAGTTGTAACGGAAGAGTTTTCAAAAACGCTTCCCGTGAAACTTTCAGCTATGTAGACAAAAAATGCCACTAAGGCTTCCAACATGATGTTTCGCTTTAATTGCCTAGTTGCTGAAAATGTCAATTCTCTTTCCGCGAAACTGAAAGCCAAAGCCGGAAGAATCTTCAAGCCCTTGGACGCGCACGCACGTGCGTGTTTCGCTCATCTACTAGGATTAATCTACAGCATACGCGTGTAACCGATACATGTATATATGTTGTGGCTCAATTTTGTGGTTTAAATTTTATTTTCTTTTGTTTCAAACTCATTCGCATTCATTGCCATATCCAAAAACAAAAGAAAATAAAATTTAAACCTAGGAGAAAATTGAAGCACAACATATACTCTATACATGTGTGGTAAGGAGGGAAGTGTATCTAGATCTCTTTTGGCATAATTCGTCCCGGCTACGACCATAATTTTCATATATTTTTCTAAGAAAGCACTGCTAGCATAAATTGCCATTTTAGTTTTGCAGCTCAAAAATGTCATTCACTGATCGTGCAACCATGAATTATGAATTATTATCACATCATGCTTGGGACCGTCACAGGGAGCCCGAACGCTGTAATAGCTAATAGAAAACATTAGATGTATTTACGCTGTATTAGCTAATAAAATAATAAGATGCATTTTCCTTTGTTCCTGTGTCTTTAAGAGTCGTATTGGAAGGGATTTGAATCCGATCAGAGACGGTTAACATATATTGCTGTGAATGCGTTTGCTTGTCTGGCGCGTCGTAAATAAGACGCTCAAGTTTCGAAAAGGCCTTCGTCGGATCTCATATGGCGCGGGACAAGTCGACCCCTCGCGACTTCGTCGCTCGCGGTCGGCCGCTTTGCGGCCAAACAAGGCTCGCTCCGCTCGCCAAGAGGTCGACTTGTAGCAAGTCTAAAGTGTCGTCTCATGTATCTAATATTGTCATGCTAACTATTGCTGGTTTTCAGTGTCACGCCATTCAAAATAGATCAAAATAAAAATCAAAACCATTCGACAAATAAAGTCCAGAATCTGGGAAATGAAAGGAGGCAAATATACAAAGACCCTCGCCAAGATTTGGGTCGAAGGAATAAGTCGTATACGAGATAAGGCTCCTTTACAAAATGGGTTTAAATATCTCGAAACATACCTCTGCGGTACGACCTCGAGTAGGCCTACTCGAGGTTGTACCGCCTGCCTTTGGTTGTCTTTGTAGACAATGGCTCAAAACGATGTTTTCAGTGGGGTTAGATTTCATTACTTTGTCGCTTGTCAGTTTAAAAAATTTTCGACCTTTGTCGGTTGTCGGTAAATCTAGATTAATGAGTAAAAAGGAAGTTACTTATTAATGTTCGTTATTTAATTCACACAGTTTAAACTCTATACAAAGGTTCACTCGACTCCCGATAACCCGAACCTTCAAGTAAAATCGAAAAAGGTTCGAGTTATCGGGAATTCGAGTTATCAGGAGCTCGAAAAAAGTAGCCGGGAGTAAGGAAAAAAACCGTTTTTACTGCATAGTGAACATTGTAATCACATTTAATTGTAGAAATGTCAAGTGAAAATGAAAAGACACTTTAAAAATAACATTTTCTAGCTAACAGTCTAACACCACTAATTATGGGTGAGGATAATATTTCCGTCAATCTACCATTGGTCGAACTACGGCAATTACCCAGACATAGAATCAAAATAAATACATTTAACTTTTCCCTGTGTTGGTCTTAGCTAAATCTGTAAGATTCTTTCTTGTCTTTGTTAAATTCATACTCGCGCCATGCCAATAGGTGAATTTCTATTTTAGAATTTTCCCCGTCTACGTACACGTCTTAAAATATAAATTTGGCTGATCTGGCAAAATGAAAATGAACTTAGCTGTTTACATCTGGATCAGATTAATCTGGTTTATTTTGATTATCTCGCTTATTTCATATTCTCTTTGACTAACCTACAATAAAGTTTCACACAGATTCACTGAGGATTATAAAGATACTGGATGTGACAAGTGTTATAGAACCTAAATATGAACATTTCTAAAATATACTTTATGTTTTGTGGCTAATTGAAGGGATATTTTGAATGCTATTGGACGTCATGCCAGCAGTCGCTAAATAGTGACCTTAGCAATATTCGTCCAAAATTGCCATAATTGAACTATCATCGTTTGCGTCACAAACAGCTTTCAGTTTCCACGTTATGGAAGAGAAGTCGATTTCTTTCGACAGTAAAAAAGTTTTTTGTTTTATCTCTTTCTGTTCCTCAGGTGTAAACATGTCAACTATTTCCTTCATAGGTGTGAGTAACGGTTCCAAGCAGTATGCACGGCTAGCTTCGTTATTCAGTACTTGGCTTTTCCCCCAAATTTTTGTCATTATATGGCACGTTCTCATCAGTTTATCACTTAGTTCGATGGACCTTTGTTGAGCCATTTGGAGATCTTGCAATTGTCGCTCTTGATCTCGTAATCGCTGCTCTGTTACCTGCTTCTCCTTTTCTTCACTCTTCAGTCGTTGGCAAAGATCGTTTTTCTCACTTTTTTTTGCCTGCAACCAGTTTTCCGAATCGTTCACGTTATCTTTAGCAGAGCTAACGCCACTTTGGGCAGATTTGACGTTATCTTTGAGTACCGTAAGGCTTACCACCACCATGGTTGGCCCGGCAATCCAACCGACTATGGGAATAGGTGTTATTGCGAGTCCTACTCCTGCTACAACTTCTTGATCTCTTCTTTTGTTTCTCAACTCTCTTTCAGCATCGTTAAGTGTATCCTGAGCACTACTGAGTGCTTTTTTCGCTTGCTCAACCTTTTGTTCGCTGTCTTTAATTTGTTGGTTCAGACCCTGAAGTTGTTGATTCATCTGTTCTACTTTCATTTTCCTCTCAGAAACATTGCTCTTTAAGCTGCTAATGGAGGAGATTAGTCTCTCAGTTTCTTCACATTGGCGTGCCTTTTCGCCTTCCCAAAACTTTAATGCTGTGTTTAAGTGTGTGTGGGCCTGACGTATTGGGAGACGCAAATTCTGGGCAATTGCTTTCGCAGTGTTCGCCGGTGTAGTTGTAGTGATCTCAGCTTTACAGAGAACTCCAATTGCTTTGTCTAGCCATTGTATTCCTGTAACAAATTCTTTCTGTGCTTCGTCTTTGTACAAAAGAACAGAGTGACCAGACGCAAACGTGGACAATGCCATGACCAAGAACAGGAGAAACAAGAGTCAAATTAGCAGCAGTATCAGAGAAAGTGTTTTACAGTCTGTTGAAGTTTTCTAGGAATATCCGCGTATTGTTACGAATTCCAAAATAAGAATTTCCCTGAAAGTACGTGAAAGAATTCCATGCATTTGCTTAAACGTGTATTGATGTTCAGGAGTACATGCAACAATCCATTCCCATTCTCACTTAAACAAACGAAAATTGGTTTGAGCTCGTATTTGCGGGTATCTACCCTGCTAAATTCTAGGTACGATAAGCAGCATCCCTTGCTGCCAAATACACTATGTGGGAGAGAAGGCATGTCCCACCGGCCTTTTTAAGGTTTGTTTACAACAAAAGTCACGTGAAACTACACGTGAAATCGGACGCTCAGAAGGTGAATTTTTCTCGGTAAGTGAACTTCGACCACCATCAGCACCATCCTTACTTGGGTATAAATATCATCTTTGTTTGCAAACGGTTGTTTTCTTGGAAGCTTGAATATATTTTCGGGTAAATCTATTGTTTACATCAAGTTATTTTATTGGGTAATGAAATTGCGCCTCGTAGTTCGTAGATAAAAGAACAATATGTGGGAGAGAACGGATGTCCGATTTTTCACGGATTGTGTACAACAGAGTTCATCAAAAGTCACGTGAAGCTACACGTGAAATCTGACGCTCAGGAGGTTCTCGGTAAATGAACTTCGATCAATATTCTTATTTGGGTATAAATATCACCTTTGTTTGCAAACGGTTGGAAGCTTGATTCGGGGAAAATCTATTCACGTGATCTATTGCTTACGTCACGTTCTTTCTTGGGCAATGTAAAGGAAAATAGTTCAACGAAGTAGCTCATTTTGTTGAAGCCTTCTGTACTGTCAGCGTATTTTGATGAAGATATTTTCTTCAAGAAACTACAGGTAAGATTAATGCAAACTTGACTTTGGTAAAACGACGTGAAAAAAATATTTCAGTACTCTTGTAATCACACTAAAGCAAAAATTACTTATTCTTCATATGGTCAGTACTTAAGAATATCTATTTTTCTGTTCTATAAGTCTAAAGTAGCATAAGCCAGTAAATTCGCACAAAATGTCTGAACCGAATTCAAGAACTGTGTTGTTTGCCGTAGAAATGAACGTGAAAACGATGTAAATAACGTAGGGTTTCAGAACAAGAACGGCGCCTTAGAGTGCTTTAGAGAATACAATTTGTGCTAAGTACTCGCCTTTGCCTTACAGTTAAAATGCTTTTCGTTTTTAAATTAAACGTTGCTGTTGTGTTTCCCAAACTCTCAATTCATAGCGGTACTGGAGACTATAATCTACCCAGACTGTGGCACAGGGCGGATAAAGGTTTATCCGTCCTGGTTTGGCATGTGAACACCTGCCGCAGTCTTGCGCTCTACTAAGATTTTTCTTCGCCATGTTATGTGTATTTGTTTTATGACTTGATTTCTACTGCTTGTAAACGCGTTCACNGTGTTTGTTATTTGAGTGGGATTTTGGTGTGTGTTGTTTCTATTTTTTTTTTTCTCTTGTTTATGTGTATTTTTTTTATGTGTTGATTTTTTGTTGTTTTAATCGTGTTTCTCTTTTTATCTCGATTTTTTTTTTTTCTTTTTTTTTTTTTTTGCCGCTTTTTTTTTTTTTTTTCATTTTTACATGAGAAGCACTGGCTCGAATACCGAGCACCGACTCCTATGGTTAACTGGAATCTTAGGTGAGTCGGAGATAGGTAAATAATTTCGGATTGCTTTGAAATGCATACTCAGGTGGCCAGCGCATGTTTAAGGAAAACTATAAGGATCTCTGATTCTGAACTGTACCTAATATTTATTCATTTATTTCTTTCTTCGTACATTATATGATATTTCTTTTTTTGTTAATTCATAGGTAGTTATGATATAATTGTAGTTAAAAATTGTGACTGAAAAGCCCACTTTGGGAGTTACAACAAACGTATGTATGTATATGTAATTGAAGATGAAATTGGATTATTTCCTGTCTAGTTTGACCCCAACTGCAATACTATATTTTTGCAAAAGTTCATTGACGTATTCATCCTAACTTCACGCATTACTACAAATATAAAATACGTTCATCGTATGATTTTTATTTACATGCATCCCTTCGGATCGTTTTCATTGCTTACATGATTGATACTGAGTCAGCTGGTCTTCAAAGCTATGGACAAATTAACTTCGATTTATTGAATCACATGTCAAGTTTTGTGGTGGTTAGTATATCCAACGATTCTCTATTATTTTTTATTATGGACTTCTAAATTCTATAGTTTCATTTTATTCTGACACAGCAGACACTAACTATTCAACTATTCATATGTTGTATTTGCAAAGCAAACTTAAGTAGAATCGAGTCACTTTTCAGGAAATAGTTCTGGATTTTGCCTGATATTTCACTGTCACATAGTAGCCTGTCAGTCTCTCTATAATGACTTAGAGCCCATGCGAAGAATATGAGGATTATTATACCTAGAAAGTGCTTTTTTTACCAGATGAGCTTGCCGACAAAGAACATACATGCACGAGAGAATCATGAGAGACATTTCACCGATCTTTAACGAATTTTGAGTTGCTCCTTTGTGATTTATGTGCACCTTTATGACTGGATTTTGGAAAACCGGGCTGACAAAAAAATCAACTCATTCTACTTCTTGGCAACTTAAAACAATAAACAATCATTCAAAGGCCGATTAATAGCCTTAAAACTTACTTACTTTCTTACTTAGATAAAATTATTCAAGTGCGCGAATTCAAATTCAATAAATCAAATCATTTGTTTGACGACGATGCTGTCATACAGTATTAATATTACAAATAAGTATACCATGATCCATGAAAGTGATCAGAGGAGATGCATATAAATTAAGATCAAATCGATGAACATATTCTATCAACTTTAGTAGGGCAAGGAAGAATAAGTCTGGCATTCATAGGTTATGTATAATCGGTCTACAGTACTAGAAATGTGAAAATTTTAAGTTATCAAGACAAGACAAGACAAGACATTTATTATCGTAACATTAGAAGTACAATTGTTTGGCACGCAATCAGCAAGAAAACGCTAGTCGAGGCGTGCCAAATTAATTCTATTACAAATCAGATATTTTATTATAATAAGTAAAAAGCAAAGAAAAAGAAAAGAAGAAATATGTGTAATGAATTCAAAAGCAAGAAAGACAAAATCTGTTTGATGCAACCTGTGAAAGAGGCAATATTATATTTTAAACTTCTTACCTTTGTACCTTAGCTCACTAGTTCGTATTTTTTTAGGAAATCTTAAGAAAAATTTGTATTGTATGTTTTCTAATTGTCATTCAACCCCCCCCCCCCAACCAAAACAAACAAACAAACAAAGCAAAAACAAAAAGAGTGAAGTGCGCGAGAATTTTGAGGAGCCGCCATGTTGGTGGCAAGGTTGTAGATTCGAGCTTCTTAGGGCTTGAAGTTGACAGCTTAGGACGGCTTGGTATAATAAACAAACCTTTGCAAATTTTGTTGACCAGGTTGCCACAAAATTGTTGGCAGTAAATTAAACCTCGCGACAAGTCTCCCCTCAAAGCTTGAATAAAGAAGTGCAAACATGTCTCAATAGGAAGTTTCAAAATCTGCTGCAAGGCCGTTTTAAATTTTTTGCGTTTTAAATATGTGGAGGATTTATAACCGTATGTACAGACTACTCTCTAGAGAGTAGTCAATATTTCCAAAGACTCCTGCTCGTGCAGTGGTCATTGATCTTAAAAGGGTTTACATTTTAGGTTGTTGATTTTCAAAGATGGCTCAAAATACGAAACAGGAACTCGACAAAGCTATAGCTGGCATGAACAAAGGAATCGACAAGAAAGAAGAAATGAGATTGATGATGGCACCTTACGCAAACTGGGATACCTTTCTCACGCCAGCTCCTCTATCCATCGCTTTGCTGGGACAGTTAATTCTTATTTCTTCGGATGCCGACTTCAGTCTTCAAGACAAGAAAGATAGCATCAAGTTTGAATTTCTGAAATACCCTGATTCGTTTCGTGCCTGTCTAGTGCAGGTCAGCAACAGAGGATGGGATGCCTTTAACAAGGCACACACTTCCATGGATCAGATCCGTCTGTACTCAAGCAATGTCGACAAGCACGTCAAAACAGCAGTGAAATTTCTTATCGCAGGGTCAGCTGAAGATGTCCAATCGATGGTCCCCGATGCGCTAAAAAACATTGAAGCGATCGCTGATAATTGTTTAGAGTTGGCCACGTCGGTTGAAAAAGAGTTCGTTGCTGTGATGAAACTAATTGCCGAACTCCTTGAAGCGTGTACACGAGCGAAGGGTCAACATGAAGAGGATCTGAAAGCCGCAAAGATCGCTCATGAAGTTGCAGAGGAGCATATGAAAGCCGTTAAAGCGGAGAAAGAACAAGCTGAAAGTAGACGAAATGAAATGGAAAAGCAAATGAAAGAGGCGAATGAAGAATTCAAAGATTCCATTAAATCAATGCCTGGCGCATGGGATATCATTGGAAAAGCTTGCGCTGACACCATGATCAGTGCTACTCGCATCGTTGGCACCATACCAAGTATGATGTTGGGAAAACTAGGCCTCAATACTCGTTCCTCACAAGAATCTAAAGTCAATGAGCCCACAAGAGATTCAAATCCTCCACAACATTCTGAAGGCGCATTGGCGATTTATAAAATCGTGCCTGAGGTTTACGGCCTAGTGGAAACCCTTGTGGCACTTGCACATGGTGGCGAGGTCATGAAAGGCGATGAAAGGGCAAAGCATGGAGTATTACGCTCTATGAAGGCACTTGAAAGCATTAAGAAAAATCGATTGGAAGAAGTAAATGAATCACGGATGAAAACGAAAGTGCTGAATCTGTGCAAAGATGCGATTGATCTCTCCCAAACCTTGTCTAAGAAGCCACAACTGCAATATTCCCAGGAAGACATTGAAGAGATACATTTGCAAGCAGATATGCTCCTCGAAGAGGCCGACGTCTTACTAGGTGTATCGCATTCCGTTCTTGGTACCAACGCCCTTCCAAATACATCTCCAAATCTTGCCAAACAGCCAGTGTACAACAGCGATGGTGGTTTAGTCCAACAAGCATTGGACAGTTATCGATTCAGGACGGAAACAGCGAAAGAAATGTTGAAGGATTCTCGTCGCGCATACGAGGCATCTTGTGATGAGGTTGCGAAGAAATCAAGAGAGGTGACCAATCTTCTTGTCGAAATGAAAGAGCTCGACTTAAAAGAGATAGATATGGAAAAAATCAGGAAGACGTTGGTGAAAGGTATTCAAGCTCTCGGTGAATTGCGAGAACAGTGGGGCAAGCTGGTTCGGTTTTTCCAGATGCTATCCAATTTAGTCAAGTGTTGCCTGAGTACCTCCCTCAAGACCTTTGTGCAAACCTCTCGTAACAGATTGGCCCAAGGTGACAGTAGCATGTCTGCTACCATGCGTGACGTCATCTTCGAACAAGCCTTTCAAGCCAATCAGATTGCGTACGTGGTGAACAGCATTTCTAGCGTATACGTGGAGGTGTCGGATAAGCATTTGATGGAGCGTATTACATGTCTTGGTAAGTTGATTGCACTGGATCCAGCTAGCCATAAACACGAGATCATGCTGAGGCGAGAAGAGCTAAACCAAGGCTGTGAAGAAGCTCAGGAAGCCATTCGTAGAATTGCTCTTGACAAGAAGAAGGAAATAACAGAAGCATTTGACAAAAGAATTGGAAGAATTGAAAGCGAAGTAGAAGCTTTACTGCCTCCGATCTCGGAAAAGAGAGCTGAAGAGATAAAAGAAAAAGTGAAATCTAATATTGCAATTTCAAAAGCTGACATCGAAGCCGAGGTTGATGACTTGACTTAAAAACTGTTTGCTTTTTTTTTTGGTTTTTGGAACTTTATAAAGTAGGGTGATAGTAAAACGGTCAATTTTGAGATACACAGTGGATTTTAATCAACTAGGAAAATAGTTTCCATAGTCCTAGTATGAAGAGCTCAAGTTAAAACGATTCATACTGTAATGAATGCATAAAAATTTTCGAGGATATTGAAAGCTTGTCTGATTTCACGCGTTCTGTAAAGAGTATTCAATGTGAAACTTCTGAACACTTGACGTTTCAAATCACTCTATAATTGTAACATTCGTCTTGCTACTGTAGCAAAGTATTCGTGTTAAAATATCTTGTAATGTGAACAGGGGCACCCGTCGAGAATATGGTTCAAAACCTCTTAAACATAACATTGTTGAACGTATTTTAGAATTTAAACGGTAGATATAGGCATATTTTTATCCCTTAAACATGTTTCGTCTGTTCGGATTTGCTAACTGAAAGTCTAGTGATCCGAAAATTATAGGGATCAAAACTTACCTTTTCGAAAATTTCAGCCAGAAAAAAGGCTCCCGAAAACTCTAGGTGTCCTTTTTGGGGTAAAAATCCGTAAAAAATGAGCAATTATACCTTTTTTTAGATGTTCGAAAATCCTAGGAGAGGCAGGCAAGCAAGAAATTTCACAACAAATGTTGCGAAAATTCTATATATCAAATCGTCTTCAGAACAGATATTTTCCGAAAATTGACGTTGGGTGCCCCTGATGTGAAGTTTGTGAAGTTTGTTTGCTGATTAATTAAAACAACCGGATTTGCGCATTCAGTGTGTCTTTTATGTGGCTATTTAAGGTTTTGTTTCAGCTCAAAAGCCAAAACATTTCCTAGTCATTTGAGCACGAATTTACATTATTCCTAAACGTGCTGTATTTCTTGCTTCTGGAACAGGGGAGCAGAACAAATAATTCCGACACGGGACACATTTCAGTAATTAGTGAAACATTAACTTATTTTGCACATCTGAGTATTTACACACGAACAAAATACTCTTCCGGATTTTGATATGTTCTTGACGATAAGTTATGCAATGTGTTATGTACACCTAGCGGAGTGGAAAATCATTTAAGAAACCTAAACATCCACAAGTCTAAAGGAATGCGCACTGGAACTATCTACATCGCCCCAGTACATAAAAAGGAACCAATTAAAACATAAAAAGGAAAACTATCGTCAAATCTCGCCGACATCCATCATAAGCAAAATAGCTGAGAAAATTGAAAAATCAAGGGTCGTCTCATTTTGGAATAAACATCAATTACTAAACCCAAGTCAATTTGGATATTTGAAAGGCAGATCGACAGTGTTTAAGCTGTTATAACAACTGGTGCTGAGAGGGTTGTCCAATACTGTCGACTGGACTTTGGCATCTCATTAAGGGGACTTAAAAATTTTCTAGCTTGTCTTGTTGGTAAGAGAACCCGTGTAATGGTAGTCGAGTCGTACGAGCCGTACGAGTGGAGAAAGCGCTTGCATGTCCACTTGACAGAGTAAACTGTCGAGTGAACATGTGCATCTCATTAAGGGGATTAGAAATTTTGCCCGGGGGGTACTCCCTTATATAAGCCATATAGGTATGTGCCGCCCCATCGGGTAGGGTTTTTGCGCCGTTTTGGTCTGAAAACGGGTATACACTTTGCCCATTTTCGTCTCGAATCGGGTATGGTTTTCGAGGGAACTACGGTGTGTATGAACTTATTTATCGTTTCAATTCCAAATGAGTAAGAAAGAAAGAGAAATATGCGAATTCCAAATGGATTTGAATAATTTTTTTTTTTTTGCGCTCTAATCTGAGTAGTGATAACATAATTTGTCCCTAAAGGGCAAGGTCTGAAAACGGTTAGAGATTTTAGAGTTCTAGTCTGAACACGGGTTTGGGGGTTTGGAGAATGACATTTTTTGGTCTGAAATCGGGTCAGGATTTGAAGAACCTTGCGGCACAGCCCCACCAAGAATTCCCGTACGAGTGGAAAAAGTGGTAGTCCACCAGACAGAGTGAACTGTCGAGTGGACAAATGCTGTCATTAAGGGCACTTAGAAATTTACTAGCTTGTCTTGTTGGCAAGACACTGACATTATATTTGTAGTCGAGGCATACGATTCATACGTATCGAGTGGAGAAAGTGCTTGTCCCCGGGCTTGTCCACCCAGCATGATTCATGGAGTCAAATGCATATAGATGTAGATAGAGAGTCCGTGAAGAATAGCCAACAGCATCTTGGAAATGCGAGAGTAATTTTGTGCAAAAAATATCAACCTTGTTCCCAGGCTACTTTCTTACTTTCTTAGCAGCCTGGGAACGATGTTATATTTTTGATGACGTCACCTTTATTACAAGGTTTTTGGTGTTATTTAATTTACAATCTGCAGTCTGCAGTCTGCTGTCTGCGGTCTGGTCTGCTGTCTGCAGTCTGCAGTCTGCAGTCTGCAAATGTCATACACCGAGATTCTGTAGCCTGTGTAGCGTCTAAATAGCACTGTTATGGAGATTGGAAGATGCAAGGTAGAGTTTGATGTCAAGCTGTGTTAGTACGTTGGTCAGTTTTGGACAGGACATTACTTTAGAACTACTTTGAACATTGGTGAGATACGTGGCCATTTTGGGTTGCAAAGCATTGACGAGCGAGGTGTGGTGCTAGCTTGAAAATCATCCGATTGCTTCGAGTCGTTTTCTCCTCTCAGCAACGTCTGAATCGACCAGCTGTTAATGCCGTCCACTGACGTCACTACTATCCGAAAACCGGGTAGTGATTTTGATTGGTTGATTGTCTAAATATTCGCATAATGATGTATAATTTTGAGAAATTTTAGCGGGATTTTCGCTTGATATTCAGCGGATCGCATCGTTGGCATGCTTGCGTGGAGAGCAAACATTTCGATAATCTTTATCACAAACAGCAAAACTGCCCTTTTCTTCGAAACTGAAATGCTGAATTGAACTGCGAATGAAGAATCATCGCGGAGAGTCGGTAGGTTTTTCATTTAGATCCGCTTTATGGTTTCCGCAGTGATTTCGTTTAAGCGAAGTTTCTGAGACCGCAATGTTGTCATTCGACCTTCTTGCTATTTTCACCGTCAATTGTAATTATTCTCTGTTAGCTTTTCTTTCTTGCTTCCTAGTTTTCTTTTTTATTCGTTAAGATCCAAATAGCTTCATTTCAATTAAAGAAAATTGTTGTGTCTTTGAACTAATTATAAGTGTTCCGTGTGTGTATTTATTTCATTGCCTGATTGCGACTAGCCTCCCACGCAGGCGTTTTTAGGGAAACTCGTATTTCGTCCCTGGGAGGGAAGAAANCTTTATCACAAACAGCAAAACTGCCCTTTTCTTCGAAACTGAAATGCTGAATTGAACTGCGAATGAAGAATCATCGCGGAGAGTCGGTAGGTTTTTCATTTAGATCCGCTTTATGGTTTCCGCAGTGATTTCGTTTAAGCGAAGTTTCTGAGACCGCAATGTTGTCATTCGACCTTCTTGCTATTTTCACCGTCAATTGTAATTATTCTCTGTTAGCTTTTCTTTCTTGCTTCCTAGTTTTCTTTTTTATTCGTTAAGATCCAAATAGCTTCATTTCAATTAAAGAAAATTGTTGTGTCTTTGAACTAATTATAAGTGTTCCGTGTGTGTATTTATTTCATTGCCTGATTGCGACTAGCCTCCCACGCAGGCGTTTTTAGGGAAACTCGTATTTCGTCCCTGGGAGGGAAGAAATACTAGCTCGCCTAAAATCGCCTCAGCGGGAGGCTAGATTGCGACCGTGTTTGAGTTACAACCGGTTCAGCCTGCATGTAGTTGATATTATTTGAACGTTAAACATGAATTACGATCGAAAAGAGTTTTTTGTCAGCTGTTCTTTATGATGTAGACATTTCCAAACGATAATTCTTGGTTATCGTGTTTTACTTTTTGCATGAATTAAAGCAAAGGAGTAGTGACGTCACTGGATGGCATTAACGGCCGATCGATTCAGACGTTACTGAGGAAGTAATAAATACTCGAAGTAATCGGATGAAATTCAGGCTAGCGTGGTGCGAGTTTGCTCCTGAAAAATAGGTGGCAAAGATGGCGCACTAAGTGTCGTCGGTCTTTTAAGAAGGTAAATCTTGGTGGAAAACCACCTTTGTCTGTTTGCTAAGGCACCAACGTCGGAATGAGGTACGAAATTTTAAGGAGAGATAAGGTTTCCCTTATTATAAAAATCCGGCTGAAGTGAGGTCTGATAAATTTATAAATATTTTAATTATATTTTCATACGTATTCATGCATGTGGACTAGCTACAACCGACCGTTCTCCTGTTGTGGAGGTATGTTGTCTTTCCTAGTGAGAGTGTATGTTCTTCAGCAACTGGCCTTTGTACATGAAAGAGATGTTACAAAGACTGAAAGAGGTTTAGTTCTTGAGTGCTGGTGTTACTCAAGGTTATATTTTAAGGCGGTTTACCTCTAGGCCATGTAACAACAACAACAAAAAAATCAAATGTTTCTCGTCTTTCTATGAAAAGGAGAGCGGGCGGGCGCTTTTTTTGTTATCTCAGACTTTTTTATTCTTTCCAATTGAATGCTTTCTTTACACATGGTTACCATCCCCCATGGACAAGTTGGAGTTCTGAGGTCAAATTATATTAAAAAAAAGAAACGTCAGATATGATTAAACTCAAGTTTGTTATATTTTGATACATGTTCTAAACAACAACGTGATACATCATACGATATATTGCAATAGGAAGGGTGATTTATTGGCCTGAAAGCTCTCGTGATTTTCTTCTTTGGCTCATATCCCCTTTTGTGGCATACACTGCAGAACGGGTAGCAGTCCTCTCGAATTACTAAATCGACCCCACTTCCACACACACACGCACAAAAAAAAAAACAAAACAGTGGATCAGCCAATGCAACATAGTATCGAACCTCCATTGTCAAATTCTCCAGAAGCGATGCTTGTTTCTCCACGAAAGGCAAAAACACTAAAGAAATAGGATAA